ATGGACTGACTATTCTTGGGGGGGAAAGGGGTGTGGGGGGTGCGGGAAGATACTGGACAATAATCGTGCACCTATGGATGAGGACAGTGGGTGGGGAGTGAGGGCGGAGGGAGGGGTGGGAACTGGGTGAAGGGGAGTTATGGTGGGGAAAAGAGGAACCAATGTAATAATCTGAACAATAAAGATTTAATTTTAAAAATTTTAAAAAATAAAATAAAAACAAACAAAGGGGGAGCAGAATGTTATATGTTAAATTAAAAAAAAAAATACAATGCAGAAGGTTGTACAGCAGCCAAAAGGCATCGGGCCTCCTGTACAATAGCCTCTGCCGACTCAGCCAGGTGGAAGGATACACAAACCAGACGAGAGTTTTACCAGATCAGCAATGATGTGGGGAAGAGGTTGTGTTTTGTATCTTTCCAGAAGGAGCAGAGCAGACAATGTGGGTACCAGAGCGTTACGTGCGTCACCACAATGGACCCAGAGAAGCTCCTTGTCCCATCGTTCCAAAGACTTAGAGTTGCCCCGATGACGGAAAAGCGGAAAAAAGAAGAAAAGGAAGGCTATGCCAGGGACCGAGGTGCCAACATGGGGTCAGCTGAAGAAGTTAACAACTGAGGCCCAGCAGATGGTGGAAAAGCAAGAAGTGGAAGCTACTCTCTCCGCCAAGCCCGAGGACTCTGAGTAAATCAGCAAAAGAAACTTTCATTTAGCGGAAACTCACTTCTTGCTTTTTGCATTGCCATTGTTTTATTATTCTGACTAGTTTTAAAAATGTTATGTTTTAAGTTGTAAAATGTTCTGGGTATTGCATTGGCATTGTCTTGTTATTGTTTTAATAGCCAGAGCTTTGTTCTTGATGCTTAAGTTTTACTTTCATTATGGTAGCTTTTTGTGCTTGATGCTTAAAAACTTTCATTATAGTAGCTTAAAGTATAAAAGAAGGGTGAGATGTGGGGAGCCGATATAGGGTTAAGCCTCGGACTGACCTGTTGGCAAAGTCACAAGCAGGTCTTCCGAGTCTTAAACAACCCAATGGAGAGGTGGCCGCCGATTTACACGCGCTGTCATTTAAAAATAAAAATGGGGGAATTTGCCGGAAGCCGGTCCACCCTTGCTGCTTGACACAGTCGCTGCAGGGAAGAAACATCTGCACAGCTTATGTTTCAAGGGATCTGGCGTATATGACA